GGGCCCGGCACTGGCTCGGCACACACTCCTCACCTGCGCCCCATGTACTTGCGGTATTGCTTGCCCAGGAAGCGGCGGGAGGGCCGCCCTCGCCTCCTGGGGATGATGTCTGCCTCCTCGGGGCCGGTGTTGGAGGAAGGGTCCTTGTTCTCAGAATCGGACTGGCTGATGCTGGGCTCTGCCAGGCTCTCGATGGTCCCATTCTCCAGGCCGGAGGAACTGGCTGCTTCTGAGTTCTGCAGCTCGTGGCTCGGTGTGCTTTGGGATGTCACCAAGGGCTCCACCTCCCCTCCTGCTTGAAAGAACACAGTACGGCTCAGTCACACCCCCTCCCTGCGGGCTCCTGGGGGTTCGTATACCGCTCCCTGCCCCAGCCCAGCACAGGGCTGCTGCCTCCCGCTTCCCTCACCTTCAGGCACATCCTGGGGCATGTCCTCCAGACGAGGAAACTTGCGGGGTCTCCCCGGGCGTCGCCGGGGCCTCTCCTCGCTGGATGTGGGGACAGTGCGGCTGTACTTGGGCTGTCGCCCACGGGGCTCATCCTCAGCTGGGTTATAGTCACTGTCCTCTGGAGGTTAAGTGGCCCAAAATGTCAGAGAAAGACTGGGAAAAGACTAAGCTACGTAAGATGGGGGGAGGACAAGTCCTACCTTCAGGGTCATCAATAGCACCAGCATCCATGATATCATCATCTTCTTCTTCTTCTGGGACATCCTCCTCTGCGGTCTTTGGAGCAGATCCCCCCTTTCGTGGACGTCCTTTCTTCAAAGCCAGAGCTGAACCCACTGCCACAGAGAACAGAACAAGAAGTCTTTACCAGACTCCTGCTGACCAGGTCCGTACACTCACACTCCTCCCCTTATTTCTTCCGCGGAGAGAGCAGAGCTCATCTGCAGTCAGGTAAGTTTTCCTCAGCCCTTAGCACACACCTGGCTGGAAATGCCGCTCTTTCATGTGGTTGATCAGCGTTTTCTTGGAGACACTCTTGTACTGACACATCTTGCACTTGAACTGCTGCACCACCACCACCTCCATCATCTCTTCCAGGGTCTCCATGTCTGGCTGGTCTAGCTCCTCCCCACCATCCACCTCTCGGGCCTGATCTGCCTGTGTGGGCAGCTCCAGCACCTCCAACTGCTCAGAAGGGTCTGAAGGGCCGGGCTGGTCAAGGCATGTGGAGGTAGGTCCATCAGCAACAGCTTCTATCGCCAAGCTATTGGCCAGAGCAGAGGTGGCCATCTGGGACACCATGGGGGCACCTGAAACACCAAAACCAGCTCAGCCAAGGAGCAGACCCTCACTTGCATTCAGGCTGCACCCACACCTGGGGCACAGGGCTGAGCATGAGCTCAGTAACAAGCTCCCATCAGTCAGCACATCTACGGGGACTCTGGTACAGGCACTGTGGCCGATGTAGCTGGGATACCCACACCAGGTCCCACCCTCGCACAGAAGGCTGGGGGGCAGTGACAGCCACCACCAGATGCCCCAGGGCGCGCCCTTACCATCATCAGGGCCCTGCAGAATGAGGTACTGCGTTTCTATCGCCAAGCTATTGGCCAGAGCAGAGGTGGCCATCTGGGACACCATGGGGGCACCTGAAACACCAAAACCAGCTCAGCCAAGGAGCAGACCCTCACTTGCATTCAGGCTGCACCCACACCTGGGGCACAGGGCTGAGCATGAGCTCAGTAACAAGCTCCCATCAGTCAGCACATCTACGGGGACTCTGGTACAGGCACTGTGGCCGATGTAGCTGGGATACCCACACCAGGTCCCACCCTCGCACAGAAGGCTGGGGGGCAGTGACAGCCACCACCAGATGCCCCAGGGCGCGCCCTTACCATCATCAGGGCCCTTCAGAATGAGGTACTGCGTAGTCTCTGCCCCACCATCCTCTGCGCTGGTCACGGCAATGCAGCCTGGGAGAAAGAGGACAGTGGTAACTGCCAGATGTGGGGACTGTATAGTCACTGGGGCTCTCCCAGCTTCAGACACAAGTGGGAAGGGCTGAGGAAGGTCTGGCTCCAGGGACGGAGGCTGCCGTGGGCTGCTGGCACCCTGGCTGAAGGAGTGGCTGGACAGAGGGAGAGTGTCAAACCCTCCAACTGCTGCAGCAAGGCAAGAAGAGAAACCCCCGCTGACTGAGGTGCGTACGTACACACGCACGTATTTCCCCCTCACCTCCCAGGGTCTGGCACAGCAGCAGCTCCCTTCCCCAGCACCCCAAGATGCTTGCATGCAGGGCACTCCAGAGGGCGAGCGGGCAGGTCTGCCGCGCACACGAGTAGCTGGGAGCACCCACTCACTCTGGATAATGTCAGGCCCGATCGTGGACTCAATGATTTTGTCGATGGCAGAACCTAGGTCCGAGGAAGTGGATGCGGTGGAGTCTGACACGATTGTGGCTCCATCAGTGATGACGCTGGAGTGGACCAGGACTTGTGGGGACTCTGAGACCATGATGGACTGGCTCACAGTGGAGACACTAGAGACCAAGGTGGACTGGGCAATGGAAGATGAATCAGGTAGGTAAATCCGGGGAATGGCATCTGTGCTGGAGCTGCTCTCTGACACTTCTTCCTGGAGAAAATAAAAAAAGAGACCAGAAGAGGTCAGCTGAGAGACCTTTGCCAGGCCAGGCCCTTGGGGGAGCCAGCGTATGCAACCGACACAGGCGTATCACTGCGGAACTGCCAGGGAAGGCATCAGAGCAATTTCTTTGGTATTGCCAGGGACCCTGGACCTCCAGGACTGCTATTGCTGCCAAGGAGAGTTGTTCTCCTCGGATTGGCGAGCAGACACCTGACCGGTAGCATAACAGCGCCTGCGGGGGGGGGGGAGCCACAGAACTGGCTCCTGAAGCTCAGCAACGTCCAGGGAAGTTCTCAGGACCCGGATCCAGAGTTACCCCTACCACCCCGGTGGAGTGCCGCCCCACCTTTCCCATCAGCTCCTACCAAGGAGACCCCGCTGCTGTCGGAGCTCTGGCCCACGCCGGAGTCATCCGGTCGGGAGAGGGGGCCGGGGGCGGAGGCGGCGTCGCTGCTGTCCGCCGACACGGCCTCCGAGGTCCCGACGCCCAGGCCGCTCTCGGAGGGCTCCT